GAAAGAACTTGGTAAGCTTGTGAGATCTGTTTGAATTTGACCTCAGCTTCTGGTTCCTTATTTTTATCAGGGTGGTATTTGAGTGCTTGTACATAGTAATTCTTTTTTATTTCAGCTTGTGTTGCTGTAGGGGAAACGTTAAGCCAATCATAATATTCTGTTTCTAGTGGAGTTTCATCTAAAAGTATAAGAAATAGTTTAAGAAAAGTTTTTTATGAAATTATAAATCTTATAGATGAAAAATAAGGATGTGTTGTTTTAGTCAATTACCTGATCCTTTGCCACCACTAACATGAGATTTTTTAGGCTCTTCATTTTTTTGTGAGTTTAGATTTGTATCAGCACCAACACTTCGAGAATTTCCTGCAAAACCAGATGTTTGTGGGTGTGGTGAATTTTTTGAGGTTGTTACTGGTTTGGAAACTAGTTTGTTCTCGAAGAGATCGCTTGAATTTACCAAAAAGCTCTTTTTGCAGTAAACGCATACCACTTGGAGGGAAACAGCTTTGTCTTTACTTGGTAGGTCTATTTGGACTGGCCGTTGGCATTCAAGGCAATATATTAGTGCACATGTGGGTATTTTTGATTCTATCATTTTCCTTTGGATTGAAATATTAGAATAAATCGTTCTTGCGATTAAATGGAGATATTAAAGTAAAAGTAAATTAAGTTGTGTTTCTGAATATAATTATACCTGTTCTAGGAAAGTAAATGAGAGTTGAATGTTCAATTAAAACAGAAAAGTAAAGATTCAAGAAAGATTTGTTTCTTTTAGGGATTTGGGTTTGTTTCGGAGAAAGAGATTATGAATGAGACAGAAAAGTTTATAGTTTGTTGGGAAACAGTTTTGTTTATCAACAATTTGGCAGCTTTAACCCAAATAATAATAATCCTGTAGTGAACACCAATCCTATTTCAGCAACGAAACAAACTCAAAATAAGTGGAAACCATGTATGGCCAATGAATATCTACTAAAACATTTTTTACAAACTACTAACTATTGGATCAATCATATTCACGTGATATTTGGTTGTTAACGCCGATTATTGGCTGTAAATTTTGGGACTTTCTATTGTACTTTTTTCGCAAAAAAGCCAACAAAATCCACAATTTATATTACTAATTTCTGATATCAAGAATGCTATTTAAATTATAAAAACAGCCACATATAAGTCATTTCTCAGAACACGTCAAGAAGAAAAAGATATTACACGATTATTCAACGATTGGTAGATATAATAAATATCACATACAATTATACCTGGATGTAGTAGCTGAAAATAAACCCAAGTTATATTTTATCAAACTGCAAAGATTGGCAATAGAATAGAAAGTATATACAAACAGTAAGAAATAAGAAAGGAAAAATACTAGTGACCTGGAGAAGGTTGATAACTGTAGGCCAAGGAAACTAACCCAACATAAACAAATTTTGGTTTGTTTTTTAGAGTATAGCTCTCGATTTACAAGTTATTGAAGATACGACAGCAATTTCTTTGACTTGGTATTATAGTTAGCGACTTTTGTTTGGCCAAGTTGTAAATGCCAAGAAAAATGAGGAAGTGTGATGTTTTTATAGCGTTTCTACTTATAGTATACATTGGAGAGCAACTTTTTTTTGCGATTAAAGTGCTTTTGTATAATTGGACTTTATAAAAAAGCCTATAATTCCCAACCAATAATTTTATGGCTTCCAAGACCTAATCTCACAACTTGGCACAGTTTTCAGTGAGGTGTTTTTATGGCCAACACGAAACTTGGCAAGGCTTCTCTTTACCTATCATTTTATAAAAATCAGTTACTCAAAGCATCCAGTACTAAAAAACGTTTAAAAGCGCTTAAAAACGTTCAAGTCAAAATTGTAACAGTTTTTACTGATTTTCTTTTTCTAAATACTCCTGAGAAATATCATATTTGCCCACAGAACACAAACTATACACTTCGAGTACATTTTTTAAACTTGAAATTTCTCTTCCAGCTTCTATCACTTCAACATTTTTCATCTCTCGCTCTCCCCCACTTGATTAAAAACTCAAAGTTTAACAACACATATCCAAAACCACTGAAAACAAAATGGATTATCTCCTTTGTAAATGGGAAAACTGTAGTAATAAAACCTTTAAAACTCCAGAGGATTTATATTCTCACATGACCTCTACACACATCGGTTGGAAAGCAGAAGGAACCTTGTGTCTTGAATGTAAATGGAAAGGCTGTAATGTAAAAACAACAAAAAGAGATCACATCACCTCACACTTGAGAGTTCATGTGTCTTTTAAACCACACAAATGCAAGGTAAGCAAACCAGTTCTACTAAAATTCTAGAATCTTGTAAGTATCAAACAAAACTCTTAATTTCTCTCGAATTGTTTTTTAGCAATGTACCAAATCTTTCAAATGGATCCAAGACCTGAAAAAGCACACAAAATCTCATTTAGATGCTGGCGATTCTAGTTCAAGTGATTTCAACAAGAGTAAATCCTTTAAAGACGCAAGACCCATTGCCCCCAACAAAAAACCCATTACAGATCTTCAAGAATCAAAACCCAGCATAAAATCTCAAAAGAGAAACTTTGAAAGTTATAACAGCTCAAACATATTGCCAAATTCGAACGACAAAGATTTCAAATACAACAATTTGACGAAAGACAGCGAATTAAATACAAACTGTAACAATAGCCTTGATGATATCTCTTTCAGAGTAAAGAAGTTTTGTACGGAGAATAGTAATATCACAAAAGGTAATACTAACTATACTTTAATATTTGGATATATTTTATCTATTCTTTTTCTTAAAAGCCAAACATGATTCAATGTCTTTATTATTTTTTTTAAATTTAGCTGACACTGAATTTATTGAATCTGTAAATAAGCTTTTGATGGTCGATCCCTCAAACATTAACGAACTCCCTACATCTCTTCTCGACCAAGAAAACATATATTATCTTAACCAGAGCTTTTTGAAACTTTTCCCTGATCTAGCTCTCCCTTTAGAATCATCATCCCAACAGTTTTCAAGTAGTTCGCTTAGTCCTTCCACACAAGCAGCATCAAGCGATCAAGGTTCACAGTTTTCTAACTCCCCACCACTAAGTGACGCCGACATTTTTTTTGAGAATCTGCTTACTCAGCTTAGTAATAGTATCGAACCTAGTAGCACAGCTAGTATTGATACGGGATCTAATTTTAAGGATATTTTTTCTTTGCCAACACTCCCAAGCCAAAGCAAAACTTCTGACACATCCAACGAACCCAAAAGTTTAAATTCGAATTTACTAGCTGATCAGCAACCATTCAGCACACCAGACACTTGGATGAACTCAATAACCCAATTTGAGTCATTTGGCTCCAACTCAAACAACAAACCCAGTTTCTCCGATCAACTTTATCAGTCATCGCCACTTACTCCCACTACGAACCAAAATTGGCAACAGGATTTCTCTCAAAATCTAGATCATGTGCCATTTGAACTCTCCTTAAATCCAGAGATCTCTAATAACAGTGTTAGTACACCATACTCTGACATCAGTTATGATTTTGTCAGTAGCCCTGTGCAACTAAATACGTTCAGTAGCAATACACCAGACGGATTTCTAAACACAAATAATAACTTTGCAAGCTCAAGAAACATTTCTCCACAAAATTCACTTTTTTTTGAAGCTAAAAAATATTCACCACCCGCCGTACAAACATCGATAGATCCAAAAAATCTACAAGCAAATGTTACCACAACTGGACAGAATCTAGACTACTCAATCTTTAATCAAAATGATCTCGTTAGTCAAAAGAGTATGTGTTCTATGCTTATAGATTCCGCTGGAGAACTTGGAATCTCATTCACTCCAAAACAGATTCAAAGACTTCGCGAGATAGAAATGAGTCAAAACCCACAGTTTGTACCCGAAAGACCAGAATTAGAAACTCAAAATATATTAGCTCTGGATCTAAGCAACATAGAAACAGAAAAATATGGTTCACAAAACGGTTATAGTTATGGTTACAATGACATATACAATTCTCTTCAGATGCAGAATGGTTTTTCACCAAATATGAATGCACCACCGTCAGAAACTGCCCCCATAAATACGAACTACAATCGAAACGCTGACTCGAATGTAAACATGTCTATGAGAATGAGATATGCAGCACCACCACCCATTATCCAACTGAACGATTATCTCCCAATAACAACAAAAACCATGGGAATCCAACAAAAATCATTTGAAAGTTATAAGAAAGAACAAGAAACTGCTGATATAAAGATAAAGAGTGTTGAAAAAGCAGATCTCAAATTAGATGAGAACAAGAGTGAAGCAGCAACAGAATCAAATGATATTTCTACATTACTTAGTGGATTTAACGAGCTGGACATAAGAGATAATGGTGAAAGTATATCTGTGATACCACAAACCAAAAAAGAAGACCTGGAGTCAAAAGAACAAAGTGATCTTGATGAAAATGAAGAAGATGGCTCTGATGGTAAACTGTCTGAATTGTATAACAACACCGATATAAACACAGTTTCTGCGATTTTGGCAAAAATCAATATGCTCTATCTCTCGAACAAACTCAAAGCATCTAAAGCAATGTAGAAACCACCTTTCAGTACCTGTAACTATATAAATGTGACGTATCCAAGGTTGCATACTTAGAGTTTGCGACATTTTCAAATGACTTTTATTTTTTTTGAAAGAGTGTTTTTATTTTATAACCACAAATCATTGAACAATAAAAAATTTTATAACAAGTTATTGGATGAAAAATACAAAATAAAACCCCGATTGGGTAATTAGTTTTTATTGATGAGCTACTGAAGTTTTACCCTTGTAGTAGGGCAAAAATACTAAAAAAAAGTTTATAATCAAGAAGCTAATTGAATCTTTTTATCAATATTTGATACCGTTTAAACCAATAGTCAGTGTGTCCGAGCGGTTAAGGAGATAGACTTGAAATCTATTGGGCTATGCCCGCGCAGGTTCAAATCCTGCCGCTGACGTATGGGGACTTAGCTCAGCTGGGAGAGCGTGCGACTGAAGATCGTACGGTCCCGAGTTCAATCCTCGGAGTCCCCATTTAGGTATCTTGGCCGAGCGGTCTAAGGCGCCGCACTCAAGTTGCGGTCTCGCAAGAGGCGTGGGTTCGAATCCCACAGATACCAATTTTTTTTCTTCGTTTCACAATTTCTTGATATTTTTGTAATAGTTGATCAGTATCAAGAACAAAGTTTTTCTTTTCAAAAACCTTTTTTTTAGCAGTAAATTCTCACATTCAACCTCAACAAACAAACATTTTCAGTACTATGTCTGACTCAAAGGATAGTACACGTAGTAGGAAGTTATCGGAAACTGGTCCAGAAAAAAACAATGAAAAATTACTATCTTTCTTCCACAAAGTAGACTTTATTGGACTAGCCAATCAAATTTAGATCAATTTTAGTCAACGGGA